TAGCAGAACAGGGGTCAATCTGCATTGGTAAAGGGTGGTTCCTCAATGAGTGCTCTTTATGCCAATGAAATCACAAGTAAAGTCCCAGAATATTTTTTTTAAATCCACTCATTGGTATATATGTTATTTCCCACAGTTGTACACAAGCTTCTTGAGGGCAGGAGCTTCTTTGTTTTTCTTCTTTTTGTCGCCAGTTCTTGGCACATGCTAAGTACTTAATAAATGTTTAAGGGGAAGGGAATAAGCATTTATTAAGCACCTGCTATGCCAGGCACTGTGCAAAGCACTTTGCAGATATGCACTCATTTGATCTACACGACAGCCCTGCAGTCTAGGTGCTGTTCTTTTCCCCATTTTACAGTTGAGGAATCTGAGGCACACAGTGGTTAAGTGACTTGTCCAATATCACATGGCTAATGAGTGTCTGAGACAGATTGGAACTCAGGTCTTCCTGACTTCAGGCCTAGCTGTATGTACTGTAACGTCTAACTGCCAGAAATGGAATTTTTTAGAAGTCAAGGACTGGGATAAACCTTCTACCCCTAAATCTGCCTCCCACCCCCAATACAGCTCAGAAGCAGATTTCTTTCTTTACTTCCTATTCGTTCTTCTTCGTCTCTCCCTTTCTTTTTTTCTTCCTTTTTTCTTTTCTTTTTTTTCTCTCCTCCTTCCTTTTTCTTCCTTTTCCTTCTTTCCTTTCTCTCCTTTTCTTTCTTCCTTTGTCTTTTTCTTCCTTTCTTCCTTTCTTTCTTTCTTTTTTCTTTCTTCCTTCCTTCCTTCCTTCCTTCCTTCCTTCCTTTCTTTCTTTCTTTCTTTCTTCCTTCCTTCCTTCCTTCCTTTCTTTCTTTCTTCCTTCCTTCCTTCCTTCCTTCCTTTCTTTCTTTCTTCCTTCCTTCCTTCCTTCCTTCCATTCTTTCTTCCTTCCTTCCTTCCTTCCTTCCTTCCTTCCTTCCTTCCTTTCTTTCTTTCTTTCTTTCTTTCTTTCTTTCTTTCTTTCTTTCTTTCTTTCTTTCTTCCTTCCTTCCTTCCATTCTTTCTTTCTTCCTTCCTTCCTTCCATCCTTCCTTCCTTCCTTCCTTCCCTCCTTCCTTCCTTTCTCTTCCCTCCACATTCTCCTTGTCTCTCCTAGGCTGGCAGTGCAGCACCCACTCCCTGGCCCACATCCCATACTGATCAGCATGGAGGCTGCTCTGCTTTTCCAGCCTGCCTTGCTTTGTCCCTCCTCTGCTCCCACATGCTCATCATATTGGTGTCAGACTCAGGATGGCCACCTGGTCGACTTTAGCCCTCTGCAGCTCAGCACTCCAGAGTGTAAGCCGTCTACCAGCTTCAGCTTTCCCAGGACTACAGGCACATGTAGATTTCTGAGAGAGGAGAAAACCAGCATAGCTGTGATGCCTCCCCCTCTGTAAAGGAGGAGAGTCTGCTAGCTCTGCTTGTCACCTCCTCCCATCCCCCAAAAGAAAAGACATTCAGGGTAAACAAAGCCAGGGCTAGATGCAACGGAGAGCAGGCTCCTTGCTAGGCTAGGGTTAGTGCTGAAATATGTGGGGCTGTGTGGTTTGTAGGATGGTGACACTGAGGCTGCAGTTAGAGCCGGCAGCGGGGAAGCAGCAGGGGGCCAGGTCCGAATCTGGCCACGCAGCGTTTTGGCAGAAGCTTGGAGGGGCCCGAGAAAGGGATTGGCAGGAGCTGCAGTCCCTGTGTGGAGGATGCTGCAGCTTTCTCCAGGCAGAATCTTTGACTTGAATGAAAGGGGGTGGGGTGGGGGGAAGGGAAGTGTACAGCTTATCTGACTTGGAGAAGTTTGTGGTGGACAGGAAGAAGGAGGCTCTTTTGTAAACAGATCTGACCTGCCTGGGGCTTTCCAGAGAGGCTAAGGCCATTCAGAAGGCCCTGACTTTGCAAAGGAAAGGCAAGGTCTATCTCTAAATGCATCCAGCTATCGGGGACCAAAGCCCTGGAGACAGCTTCCCAAAGGCTGAGGCCAGTTGGAGCAAGCACCTTTTTCTGGGATGAATGCAAACCATGTGTGCAGCCCCAGAGTTCCTTCCTTGCTCATGCCTCGAACATTTGGCAAGAGAAATTGAGTTTAGTGAAAATGCAGTGGAGTGTGTCATGAAAAATGGTATATTTGGTGTGTGAGTGGATGTTCAGTCATCACTCAGAAGTAATTGTTGGGGTCCTTGCCTGGAAGAAAGAGCAGAATTTTGCCCATGGCCTTTGGGGAATACGTTGGTTGGGCCGAAGGCCCCATATGTAAGAAAGCTAACTCTACCCCTGCCCTTAGAATATATAGTCAGTAATCTAGGGTGAGAGACAGCCTGGCATATAGCCAGGGCACCGTGTTGCAGTAGGATCAAGAGGGCCTGTGTTCAAATCCTGACTCTGTCATTTACTTCATGTGGGACCTAGGGCAAGTCTTGTAAAATCTCTGAGTCTCAGTTTCCTTATCTGTCAAATGAAGGGATAAGATTGGATCAAGTGTTTTCTGTGTCCTGGCCCCCTTGGGCAGTCTGGTAAAGCCTCTCAGTTCCTTTTTTGAATAATATTTTTAAGTTCATAAAATGCATTATTATTTTTGTATTTTAATACAAAGGAGACCAAATATGTTGAAATATCATTATAATTTTTTTAATAAAACGTCTACAGAACCCAGGTTAAGAACCTCAGTATTTGATGGTCCCTAGGATCCTTTCTGTCTTTAAATCTACTCTCAGAGTCTAGAAGACCTAGGTTCAAGCATACGCACACACACACACACACACACACACATCCTTCCCCACACAAACACGCACATACATATACACACACACACACAAATGCACACATACACAAACACCCCCACGCCTTTCCCCACACAAACACACACACATCCTTCCCCATACAAACATGCACATACACACACACACACACACACACACACACACACACACTATCTGTAAGACCATAGGAAAGCCACATCTTTCTATATCTTCAGCAGTTCTCTAGGACTCCAAATAATAGGCAAGTTGCTAGCCTGTATCATAGAAGGAGTTTCAATACTGGGAGTGTCCCCTATTGATTATATATATCATAGACCTAGGCCTGTAGGAATGAGTGAGCAAATGAATGAATGGGCAGTTTAGAATAGGTTGGTTTCTTTGAACATTAATAAAATTCTCCCTAAAATCTTATGTGAAATGGATCAGTAATTTTGTCAGTGTAGGAAACTCTCAGTGTGGGAAGTCCTTTTACTCATGCCAATTGAAGAGTCTTTTTAACTTTAGATAAGTTCTAGGCACTTTCCCTAGGCACTTTCACAGCTAATACCAACAAAGGCATCTACTTGGATGCAGCCCAGTGCCTGAGCTGCCATGAACTACTTAAATCCAGAACTTAAAATGTCTTGGTTCTCCTTTAAAGGAATCCTCTGGTGACGTCAACTTTCCCTATACTTAATTCTTCCACGTTTCTATTCCTTTACCAACTCCTTGAAGCAGGATGAAAATTGGAGATCCCAAAGAAGGAATGTAGATAAAAGAATGTGAATTCTTCCAGTAATATATAAGTTCCTTGAGGACAGGGCCCATTTCTGTTTACCTTTGTATCCCTGGCACCCAACACAGTATCTTTTACCTAATAGACTCTTAAGAAATGCTTGTCAAAAGGAATTAAATGAAATTTTATCTGTCAGGTCACAGATCTTTTGCCATTGGTGAGTACATTCTGAAAAGGCACTCACATCATTACAACGCCCCATCACAAAGGTTTTAACAGTCTGATCCAGCACACTGGAAACCAAGTGACTGACATCATCCTGGGCAAGTCACTTAACCTCTGTGTGCCTCAGTTTCCTCATCTGTAAAATGAGGGTAAAAAAATAGCATACACCTCCCAGGGTTGTTCTAAGGATCAAATGAGATAATATTTATAAAATGATTTGTAAACTTTAAACTGCTATATAAATGCTTATTATTGTTGTTGTTATCATTGTTATTATTGAAGAATCATTTGTATATTTATTATTGTTATTGTTGTTATCTTCGTTATTACTGAAGAATCATTTGTACTAGAGGAGGGAAGGAGTTGTCTAAACAGGGGTTCCGGGACAATTGACTCATGCAGTGTGGACATAGCATTAGCTACCCCTCCAAAGTTTTCAGTCTCAGAAGCCCAGTTCTGTTGCCCGAGGACAACTTTTATTACCTGTCAGAGCTTCAGCTGCTGTGTCTTGAGGAGTAGATCCTGCCTTACTTAATTTAGGCTAGCTACAAGAATCAGAGTGCTTTTCTCCATTGTGGGTGATCCCTCCATCTAGGCTGGTTCCAGCTACTTTGTAGCTGGGTATTTGAGACTTGCCCTTGGATAGATGATTGACCCCCTTGTGGCTCGCCAAGTAATGGATGGGCCTCTCTGACCTGCGTGAGGTTGCTTCTTGAAGACTTCCCCAAATTTGTAGGACCTGGAAGACTTTGGGTGTAGACTTATGGGCCATAGCCCTCTCCATGCCGCAGTGAGAGATCAGAAGAAGGTGTTAGTAGATTTCCACTTGTGAAGTGGATCAGTAATTTTGTCAGTGTGGGAAACTCCCAGTGTGGGAAGTGCTTTTACTCATGCACATTGAAGAATCTTCTTAACTTCAGATAAGTTCTAGGCACTTTCCCAAGGCACATAGAGGTTTCATGATTTGCTGAAAGTTGCTTAGTTGATACATGTCTGAGGCAGGTTTTGAATCGAGGTCTTTGGGACTCCAAGCCCAGCACTACCTTCTTACCCTGTCTCCTTATCTTTACTCTACTTCCGTGGCCCAGCTATAAGAAAACCCTGGAATTTTTCACGTGGGGATTTCAAATTAACCAATTGGAAACCATGCTCCTTCCATGTTTCCTCTCCTACCTAGCTTGTGACCATGGGTGGGAAACGAATCAAACAAAATGGCAAAGAAGAACAATGTCTCCTTTTTTAGGATTCCTGTGTAATTCCTTTGTCTTCTCTTCTCTTTTCTCTTTGGTGAACAGGAGAGACAGCAGGAAGGCAGCAAGTCCCTACTTCCCCTCCTGCCTCTGAAAACAGCAGCGCTGCCCACAGCATTGGCAGCACCCAGAGCACGCCCTGTTCCAGCAGCACGACCTAACACCGTGGGCCAGCGGGAAAGCCAGAGAGCCTCACCAAGGAGGGCAGCAGTTCCGAGGGATTGTCCATTCACTGAGGCTTGGTCCCCAAACCTGAAAGGTTGAATTTGGTTCCCTTTGGAAAGAGAGAAGAGATTTTAATGTTAAAAATCACCAGATTTATTGGTCCCCATCCTCCTCCACCTTGGTCATCTTGGTCTTTGGACCTTCCCTGACATGTCAGGGTACATGTTAAAAAAAAATAAAAAAAAAACTCCTTGTCCCGCCAGACTGTTATCTCCTTGCAGGAGGACTGGAGGCTTTTCAATGTGAAACACATATAACTTTGCTTTGTCTATAAAAAAAAAATCCCCTTCCTTGGGATTTCCAGCTTTACAGGGTTCAAGGAGTTGGTAAAAGGATAGAAATATGAAAGAATTAAGTAATAAGGAAGGTTGATGTCACCAGAGGAATCCTTTAAAGGAGAACCAAGACATTTTAAGTTCTGGATTTAAGTAGTTCACGGCACCTTGTAAATTGAGCTGCATCCAAGTAGATAACTTTGTTGGTATGAGCGCCTTCTCCAATTGTTCTTACACGCCCTGAAGCTTCACATGTATTTGGGTGATGGTTCCTGCCTTTAGTAACCACCTCAGGACCCATACATATCAAGGCAACATTCCTTTACATGTGACATGGGCCAGAACAACTCTCGATGACCTGTACACACACACACACACACACACACACGTGCTCAGACAGTAACGACATCATCTTAGTGCAGATTTTGCACGTGTCCTCTCTCTAAACAGACCGTGACCAAGTTCTTCAGTCTTAATTGGTGCATCCTTCTGCCTTTGTGTTCCACTTAGGCAGGTATCCAGATTAGGACAGAATTTGGCACTGGACCCCCTGGAGAGCTTGTCCCATGATAACACATATAAATGCATAGAGATGCATGGGTATGATACCTAATCTGGCATGAGTGTTTTTTTAGGTTAAGAAGAAATGAGTTTAGTGGTACTCCTTGAAAATATCGTAGGACTTCCTAGGTGGATATTACTTGTGTGTATATTTGGGTAATAAGCTCTACCCTTGCAAAATAGGTCAAAACTTTATAGGTCCAGTTTATATATTATACATATGTGTGTATGTATGTATGTGTGTATATATATGCATATATACACATATATACACATATGCATATAAAATTTTTTTAAAAACAAGAAAAAAACCAGAAACTTTTTAAAGATGCAAATGCAGGTAGTTTCTGTTAAACTACTGGTTAGTTATCTGAATGATATCGATTCTGACAAAAGTTATGTCAAAACACAGAAGCAGGGTGCTTATTTTGACCTTTATTATTTGGCACCCTTGGTCTACATACATCCCAAACTTAAAAAAATTTGGAGGTAAATTTCATGAAATGAAATTATGTCATGCAACTGAAATGTGCTTCACTGATACCTCTGTGTTTGATGAAAAAAAAAATCCCCCAGAGGAAATTTCTTCTGCCAAATAATTTATTGATGGTGATAATTTCACAACCAGTTCTGTATCTAGCCACTTTCCAGAATTCCCAAAGAAATTATTTAGAATTCCCTAAGCAGGACATCGCACCCTTTCAGACTCACCAGCCAGTCTCATTTACTTGAAAGCAGTATGTGGTGTGCCTGATTCTCCACCAGCAGGGCTCTAGACACCAAATTCTAAGTAGCCACCAAAGACTGCATGGTGGCCTCTTGGCCAAAGTGGGATGAGGATTGGCAATCGAGCAAAGTTAATTCAGTCTCTTCAGAACCTGTCAAATCAGTGTAGCCCAACTCAATCTACTTTCTCTTGAAACAGTTAGTTTGGTCATTTACTGAGATGTTGATGAAAGAAAAAACCCATATATTTGACTACACTTGTAAGGGTTAGCAGGGAAATTTCTGCTTCTGGGGCCTTTTTTTTTGTAATTAAACACATAGGCATCAGAGTAAGGAATCTAAAAAATACTCTACCTGTGTTTGGGAATAATGCGCTTTGCCTAACCTTCAGCTGAATGTATTATGTTAGTATAGTCTGTGTATTAAAAAAAAATCTTAAAAGATGTCTTCAAGGAAGACGAGTCTTTAAGTCACTTATAACTATATTTTACTACATAAAATTTGTGTATAAAGATATATTTAAATGTTTTCGATAAATTTAAGTTACTCAGTATGAAATGTCTAATTTCAATTACTGTGAATTCTTTTGATCAACCTTTTTTTTTTTGCTTCTTTTTAACCCTTTCTGTCATTTAAAAAAAATTAGCTGTTCTCATGGGAACTATTAGAAAATCCATTTCTTAGATGGACAGGGTTAAAACCTTTTGTAAAATATTTAAATGTATATTTTTGAAAGAAATATGCTGCATTACCAATGATTTTTTTATCCAGAATTTACTCTAATTTTAAAGTAATTTACAGATTAATATTTACAGACTTGACAGACCAAAAGTTGCTATTTGTTTTAAAAGAAAGAAAAATGAAAAGGTGTTTTTGAAATTTTTAGACTTCAACATATTCATTTGGTACCCCTCTCTCCGTCTGTGGGATTATTCACTTTAAGAAATCTGAACTAATGGACCATTAGCATAGCAGGTTATTAAGGTGATGAATGCTATCAAATATTACTCCTGGGATATTTCTACAAAACAAAACTTGCAGAGGCAGGTGTTTCCCTACCCTCTGTCCCACCCTGTAGCCGACAACAGCCTAAGTCCAAGAATGTACATGGTTCTCATAGCACCATTTCTAATGGCTCTTTAAGTCACCTTTCTGATACAATACAATACAAGCACAAATCCTTATTCTGTAATATATACTGCAAATTTCTCATAAAGCTCTTCTGGATTCTATATCAGCCAAATATTTCTACCCACAATGTGTTGTATTTACTTTAAAAAAAAAAAACTAGGAAAGCTCTCTTGGTTCAATACTAAGATTCTGAGGTCAGTTATTTAGCCTGTTGGGTTCAAATCTTGTTTGAGTAGTAGACCACAGCTCCTTCAACAACATGGTGCTGGGCTGGTATTACTCTTCATTGTTGCAGGAAGTCCGATGTTTGTCTGTTTCACTACTTGGGAAGCATTTACTATGGGAAGGTGGTTGTCTGCTTGTCTCTTACCATGATTGTAATTTCTGTGCCCTGATTGTTCTCTGTGATGTGTGTTGTACTAGTCTTTTCTGTAATGTATCTACCTCAGGGTTTGAAAGAAGACATGTACTGCTGGGCGTGCCAGAAGAGCACTTTTTTTGTCGGGTGACGCGTGTGGGTGTGGGTGGATGTGGATGTGTGTGTGTGGGTGGGTGGGTGCTCTCACCAGCGCATGTTTCAGTGTATGTGTGTGTTTCTTGGTTTGTCCTAGGTGGGGGTTGTTCATGAAATTAACAGATATTTTGAGAAAATGTTGGTCAGTTTCTACATACAATACATCTCCATCTCTCTCCTCCCTCTCTCTCTGTCTCTTCCTCCCTTCCCCTCTTTTCTCTCTCCTTCCTATCTCATCTTTCTTCTTTTCTCTCTTTCTCTCTCCTCCCTCTGTCTTCATCTTTCTATCTTTCTTGTTCTTATTTCTCTCTCTTTCTCTCTTCTCTCTTTCTCTTTCTTCCTCTCTCTTTCTCTCTTCCCTACCCCATTAGTTTCTTCTGAATGAGCCTGAATCCATTACCGATTTTTATTATCTAGGGGAACAAAATACAAAACCCCTTCAATCCCTGTGGCCAGTTTGAACACCCCCCACCATTTTGTAATTTTGCGTTCTTTTCTGCGTTCAGTGTGTTGGCAGACTTGTGAACTTGCTAAGTTGTATAGTTTTGATAACCATGGTGTTATATTCTTTTTATCTCTGTGCATAATAAAGATATATATCAATTATTCAAAAAGCTCTAGTTTGTCATTAAATATTGACTTCAGGTTGATATAAATTCTGGCTATTCTTCTGAGTTAGTTTCCCTTGTATTTCATCTCTCCACCTTCCAAGGATTTAATGAGGGGAGAGTAGAAGGGGAATAATAGGGCTCATCCCAGAAAATAAAGTGGGTAAATAACAGTCTGGGAGCTTAGAAAAGCTTCTCCACTCCATAGGAAGGCATCTTGGAGGTCATCAAATCCAGCTGTTTGATTTAACACATGAGGAAACAGAGAGGAAATGATTTGCCAAGGTCATACAGGTAATGATAGGTAGCAGGTTTTGAACCCAAGACCCAGTCCTCTTTCCGTTACAGCATACAGCCTTACCTTTCTTCCTCGTGGTTAGGTGGTAGAAAAAGCCAGAAGGGGAAGCGGGCCCACTAAGCTATTCCTGAGTCCTGATTGTTCAGCCTTTTTCCTTGACCCTGGTTCTGGTTCTGAGAAGTAGCAAATCAACACAGCCTGATTTGCCCGCCCAGACCTAGTCTGTGGGCTGCCATGATTTACCCCAGCCCTTTGGTTATTAGCAGAGACCAGCAGAAAGGGGCTCATGTGGCATATGACCTGCCATCTGGCTGCCGGGCCACCGGAGGCCATTTTCAGAATAACTGAAGAAAGGAAGCCAAGGTACCTACTATCTGCATAGCTCACATTCCTCCTTTACTCAGAATCCTGGATTATTGTTACTTTTAATGATTGATGGAATGGTTCATTTGTTCCTTCATTCACTCACACATTCAATCAGTGAGCATTGACTGCTGTTGCCTACTAACAGAGGGCAGACTGGACTCCTGAATCACTTTGTTATGTGTTGAGGTCAACACGTGGAAAGTGCTTTGTAAACCTTTAAAGCATCATATAAATGCTAGCTATCAGTAGTGCCCACAGTTAGGGCCTCATTACCTGTTGCTATAGCCTCCTAATTGATCTCCAGTGTCCCCTCTCTCCAGCCCATCCTCCATACAGCTGCCAAAGTGATATTCCTAAAACACAAATATAACCATGTCACTCCCCTCTTTAAGAAGTTTCAGTGGTGGCCCTGGAGTCAGAAGGACCTGAGTTCAAATGTGACCTCAGACACTTAACTAGCTATTGTGACCCTGGGCAAGTCATTTAACCTCATTTGCCTCAAAAAAAAAAAAACCTTCAGTGACTCCCTACTGCCCCAAATTTAGGCTTGTATATAGCATGACCAGGTATGCTCACCCTGGGGCAACATTACTGCTGACCCTTCAATGGATAAAGCTCTGAGTCAGGAGTCAAGAAGACCAGAGGTCATGTCTGGCCTCAGACACACACTAGCTGTGTGAGACAGACGAGTCATTTAATCTCTGTTTGCCTCAGTTTCC